CCCCCCCCCCCCCCCCCCCCCCGAGTACATGTGTGTCCAGAGTTTCCGAGTAGCAAAAAGTGTTTGGAAAAAAAGTCTGACTTCTGCATTGTTTGCTTAACCAAAAATGTTGTATCAGAATCTACACAGAAGAGAACAAAGAATAACGTGCCTGGGGCACTTGCTCCAATGAGATAATCCTTGTGTTACAAATGGCCAAGTATAAATTGCTTATTGCCTACTTGCAGGATAAAGTATTACCAGACTGAAATTTCAAGCCCGAATAAGTTGCCTCAAGATTATAAAATAACATTTTAATAGAAATGTCTTGCTTTATTTAAAAAAATCTCTTTGCAACAAGAAGTACCAAGAAACAATGCAAAAAGTAGTTTCAAAATTACTTAAGTATTTGCACCTTGTGAACTCTTGACCATAATTAGTATAATTCATATGATGTATATCTTTTTAGAATACATATGAACAATATCAATTTGTATTTGTAGTGTTGGAGAATATTGTTTTTCTTAATTTTATTTTGTAGTTTCTGTTTCGTGTTAAACGTAATGTTTTTCAAAAGTTGTCTAGAGAGTTAACAGTTTAACATTAATAAAAGAGCTACTATTTCTTGCTGGGTTACCACAGCTATGGGAGGAAAAAGCCAAATGAAGATTTTATTAATGAGGAACTTCACATATCGGATTTCAGTTTGTAGATATAATTTCAAGTCTCAGCATCTTCCGTAATTTGATAAAAGTAAAAACAGATTTTTTATGACAGATTTAGAATAACAACCTAAAAATAGTTTCTTGCAAAATATATTATAGGAACTTTCTTATTTTTGCATTCTTTAATTTTAATAACTGATATTGCTGCAAAATACATATTTAAAAGTGCAAGAAAGGTATGCTATAATAGAAATTATTGACAAGTAACTGTTTTTTTTTCATTTAACAGTACTTAACAACTGTCATTCCATATGAGAAGAAAAATGGACCCCCATCTGTTGAAGATCTTCAAACATTAACCAAAAGTAAGCAAAAACTCTCCTGTTGAACCTTTTTTATCCATGCTAGCAAACAGTTAAACCAGGAGTCAGGATCCATTCCCCAGTAACATGGAATTTATTTAAAATCTCATGGGTTTTAAGCCAAAAATTTGTAGTCTACTTAGATCTTTTTCCCAAGCTTTTCTCTGAAACTTTGAAGGCTAAATTTTTCTTTTTAAACTAGAAGCTAAGAGTCTCATGTAATGACTTTATTTCAAAAGCTGGAGCCTTAAAATTATACCAAATGTTAAGAGAGTTGGCAGTACTGTATCCCCAAAACACGTTGTCTCTCTATGGGTATTACTTGTGTGAACCACAAGTTGAGACATACCATTAGTGTACTGATTTTAAAATGTTGATAAAAGACACCTGTTATTTAATAGTTGTCAGATAAATACTGTTTCAGTGGGTTAGTATATTTTTTTTCTCTGCCTGTTTTTTCATAAGGGACCAAAATTGAGGCAATATAAGAGGGCTTGACTGTTGACAGCCATTGGAGTGCCTGTCCTCAAAAACAGTTCCAAAGGTCTCCTCAGAATGACTTGTATCATTTAATGGTTATTAACAACATTGTTATACAAATAGTATAAAGAGTTAGCATTGTTGTTTTCTGCAGGCTGATTGAAACCTGATTCTGTGACTCAAAGACAAACTTCCTGACTTGTTCCTTATTTCAGTTATTATTTAAAGCTTTATATTATTCTTTAGCTATGAACACTAAATCTTATTTCAACATAAACAGCATGTTCCTAATTATCATGTACGATAGTGTTCACAAATTCTCACACAAGGGATTTCAAGCTTATTAAATGCTACTTCTCACTAGAATGCTTTACTTTTGATTCTTACATTCATCTATCATTGTGCTGAGAATATTTTATAAAATGCTACCTCTCACTAGCCACATTTGAATATCAACAAACAGGCAGGTATGTGAGGCAGGATGGATAATAATGAGAACACCTAATCTGATATTTCATTGCTTCAAAGAGTAGCAACAGAATTATCTTCTGTTATGTAGCATAAGCTTTATAGCTTTCTACTTCAAAGTGTAAACCAGGCATTTCATACAAAAGTAGAATTTTCTTATTAATAATTTGATCAACTGTTAATGAGAAACTACACTCTTAAAAATTCTGCAATAGCCAAATTTGATTGAACTTGGATTTTTGTCAGTAGGTGGTTTAATCTAGGATGATTCATTCTAGCTAGTTGGTCAAACTCACCAAAGGACTTTTTTGTTTTTATTTGGGATTTTTTTGTGGTCATTTACAGATTTTTTTAATTCATCCCACACTAACTATTGGATATTGTTGTCAGTAGCTAATGCTGCATGACAGCTCTTTGATTTGAAATCTTTGCAAGTTGTGCATTGACGAGCACTTTGGTTACCTTGAAACCACATGAATACTTCCAAAATTTATGGAGTATTTTCAGTAATAAATGCAGTATCCCCGTGGATGGTAGTAGCCTGTAAAGTTTTCTAACATTTTCACTGCACCAGTGGCATTGTTGCTCACAGTCTTCAAAAATTTAAATCCATTAATGTCTTTGACTTCCCAAGAGTTTCTTCTTGTAATAACTGCCACAGACTGTAACGAAATTGAAGCGAAATCATGGTCACCATAAGAAATTTTACATAAGAGTTGTGTTTCAGAATTGCAGAACTTAACACTGTATCTGAACGTATGGGAAGAGGGCTGTCACCTGAAATACATAAAACTTTCCACATGTCCATCATTTTAGCACCCATCCATCCCACCTGCACCCCACCCAGCAAAAATACAAGTTGGTGCCTATGAGTCTAGGAACTCCCTTCCTCTGCCTTCTTATCCAAATACTTGATTGCTATGTACAAATCACAGACTCTCTTACCTGTAGATAGGAGGAGGGAGACTAAAAAGCAGTGTGGTGGCAAGACTGATCATCTGTAGTCATATCTTACAGTGAAGGGTTTGCTCAGAATATTACATAGTCTAGGGAAGCTTATGCAACTTTGTAGGAGTCACAGCTGAAGACAAATTTAGTGTAATAAAACATAATAATAAAGGGGAATAAAACTGAAAAAAATTGAAACATCAACAGAATTATAATTTGCATATCCAGTTTAAAACTTTTCCCCAGTAAAGTTGCTATTTAAGAATTCCAAAACTAGGTTGGCAGCTGTGAAATGAAATGAGAAATGTTGATACTTTTTGTCTTTTCTTTACTGTTTAAATGAAAGTTCACATAAATAAAAAAGAAAATCTCTGTTACAGGAAAAATCCCTAAAAAATCTGTTTTGACTTCTTAAAAACTTGTTATTTGCACTTGTTGACCTATATTCCAGCCTTCATATGCATTCACTATTGACTTGTACTGAGTATTACATATCTGAAAGGACCAGAGCTCAAGTGTTTGTCATTCTCTGTCTCAGTGTTCTAATTGTACGTTTCCTAACTTATGTAGTTTTAATATCCAGCTGAGTAGTTACAAAAATATTTTCAGTGTGATTGTTTGTGACCTCTTTAATTTAAAAATAACAATGTGAATGATTACTTTTTTTCTCTCTTTCTCCACTCTGCCCCAAAATATTTTTTAGTCCTACATGCTATGAAAGAGGACAGTGAGAAAGTGCCAAGCTTGTTAACAGATTACATTTTAAAGGGTGAGTATGCCTGTTAGATCCTAGCTAATGAATACATGCTTTCTTTTTAAGTTCCTATGTGATATATAACATAAATATTTAAAAATTCTGTTCCTGCTGCTTTCACTGGTCTGTTTTGCGTTTTGAGCAGGCTATGCATATGTTTTCATGTGCTTAAAGACCTCCAAGCATGTTAACCCATAAATAAAACTGTTGTGATGGTAATTTATTTTAAAAGAAAGTTGAATTAATATGAAGTGGAAAGTACATGCACATAGCAAAATAGCTGTAGTACATCATGCAGTACATCAAAAACAAGTCATTTCAAGTCTAGTGTATAACACAATGTGCATATTGAAATTTGTATATTATACATTTTTTTCTCAAATGGCAAAATATTTTAATGGTCTGGAAAAATGTATGTTACTAACATAGGGTCTTGTCTAAAGTGAAAATTTAGTTCTAGTAACTAGTATATTAGTATTACTTGTTTTATATAATTGTCAGTTTCTTTACAATTTAAAATTATATGTATTTGTCACATGTTTCCTTGCATTGTACAACCAATACAATATCAGTGTGCCAAACTAGGAAAATTACTATTTGCTTTGAAAGACTGTTTTACAATGTAAAATTATGAAGATTTGTTGCAAATATTCATTCTGAAATTATGTTCTTAGTTCATCATATTACTGCTTGGTTATTCCACATTTTGCTCATTAGTGTCTCTTAGTTACCATAACCAATTTTATTTCTTTACTAAAATATTGTGGATAAAATATAGTGGTTAGTTCACTTGGTCTTTCTCCATAAATTAATCCCTTCATCCTTGATTCTGTTTGTTCGTCACATTTCTGGTAGTAAGATGTCCAGAATTTATGGTACTTAAAAAAATAAATAAATAAATAAAACACTGACCAATCAAAATGTAACACGTCAACTGAAAAAAATGCTAGCTCAATAAAAG